GTCTGCGGGGACTTGCAGGGGGAAACCTCTGTGTCCCCCTGCCATCAGCAGCAAGCTTCTCTATCCAACCTGATGTAGAATCTTATCCAACCGGAAGCCCTTCGCCCAAGCCTTGGACCAAATGAAACAATAAAACTTTTTCCAACAGCTAAAAAAAAAAAAAAAAGGATAAATTTAATGTTTTAAACAGTAATTACCTAAGTGTGTGACATTGCTGTGGAAAATATAAAAGGAATCAAACATGAAGAAAGCAAAATATTACTGAAAAGATAGAAAATACCAAAGTTTTAGTAAAGACTCTTCAGAGTCTTTGGTACTTCTTTGGTACCACAGCCTACAGAAACTAAAGCATAAAGAATAAATGCTGAAGTAAGAGTATAGAATGGAAGATTTAAAAATGTAGCTTAAGATAGCAAAATATTATATTTAAATGAACCAATAATTGGTGTTAAAAAATAAAAAGGAAAAATACATTCATCTCAAGTTGAAAGAAAAAAAAAGAAAAAAATTCAAACTTGTTGTTGTTCTTGTTATGTGCCATCGAGTCGTTTCCGACTCATAGCGACCCTATGCACAACAGCTCTAAATCCTGCTCTATCCTGCGCCAACCGCACCGCCTCTGACACACCCATCCCGATTACCCCAGTCACCGAATCAATCCATCTCATAGAGGGTCTTCCCCTCCTGCGCCGTCCCTCCACCCTCCCAAGCATGATGTCCCTCTCCAAGGACCCGTCCCTCCTGGCAACATGTCCAAAGTATGTCAGACGAAGCCCCAGAATCCTTGCCTCCAAGGAGCAGCTTGGTTTAATCCTCTCCAAGATGAATCTGTTTGTTTTCCTGGCAGTCCAGGGTACATTCAGTACCCTTCTCCAGCACCACAGCTCAAAAGCATCCACTCTCCTTCTGTCCTCCCTAGTCATTGTCCAACTCTGATGCATAAAAAGCGATTGCAAATACCATGACCTGTATCAGGCGCACCTTAGTCTCCAGAGAGACACTGTTGCTCCTGAGTACGTTTGAGAGGTCCCTAAAGGCAGACTGTCCCATCACGATACGCTTTTTGATTTCCTGACTGCTGGTACCAAGAGTGTTAACTGTGGAGCCAAGCAAAGTGAACCTGTGAACACTCTCAATCTCTTCACCATCCATCCTGACGCTGCCAATTGGTCCAGTGGCGAGAATCTTTGTCTTCTTGACATTGAGCCTTAGTCCATACTGAAGGCTGCAGTCCTTGACCCTTCGCAGCAAGTGCATGAGGTCCTCCTCAGTTTCAGCAAGCAAGGTTGTGCCATCTGCATAACGGAGATTGTTGATAGATCTTCCACCAATCTTGATGCCACAATTCTCCTCATAGAGCCCAGCCTCTCGGATAATCTACTCTGCATACATGTTGAAAAGGTATGGAGACAGGATGCATCCCTGGCGTACACCCTTCCCTATTTTGAACCATGCAGTGTTACCCTGCTCTGTTCTCACTACTGCCTCTTGGTCCAAGTATAGGTTTCGTATTAGCACAATTAAATGTTCTGGGATTCCCATTCTTCTCAGAGTCAGCCACAGTTTGTTATGATCCACACAGTCAAATGCCTTTGCATAATCAATGAAACACAGATAGACATTCTTCTGGCATTCTCTGCTTTCAGCCAAGATCCATCTAACATCAGCAACAATATCCCTAGTACCACGACCCCTTCTAAACCCAGCCTGGACTTCCGGCAGTTCTCTGCTGATGTGCTGTTCTAATCGTTTTTGGATGATCTTCAGCAGAATCTTGCTTGCATGTGAAATCAATGACACTGTTCTGTAGTTTCCACACTCAGTTGGGTCACCTTAGAGTTGTAATAGTAACTGACTCTATAGACAAAAACATAAATGGATGATGCAGAATGTGTCATATAAGATAGAAGGAATATCCACTGTTGCTTTAGAAAAACGAACTTGTAGACATTCAGCTATTACTGGTGATAGTATACAACGTTGTAGAAAGAAGCAAAAGAAAGCTAATTGAAATATAGCAAATGCAGTGCTGTACCAGTGGTGATAAAACATCTAAGCTAAGAAATTTGAAGAGATATCTGGCCAAATTGATGCAAGATATCTATACTTATTCCCAACGAAAGAAATATGATCCAAAGATATATGCTTTATCAATCATCATTAATAAGCCTGCAAGTAGAATAATTTTTCTGAAGATTATTAAAAAGAGCTGTAGAAAAACATCTAAAGAAAGTGCCAGCGATTAATGTTGTATTCAGAAGAGGACACAGAAGAAGGAATATCATTTCTGACTTAAGTTAAATCCGCTAAAATCAGAAAACAATATAAAAATATTTACTTGTTGCTTACTATTTGCTGAAACTTGCCCGATCCTGTTCCATCATCACCATCTATGATATAATTGAGCACAATGAAAATATCACTGTGTCAGTGCATCTCAAAGAGGATATTTCTTTTTCCTAGTCTCTACCAAGCCCTATGGATATAAAACAAACAAATAAAAAACAACCACTTCCCCCCACAAAAACAAAAACAAACAAAAACAAACCCGATGTAAATGGAAAAACAAACCTGTGAAAGAGAAACAGTATCTTTGAACTGTGATGTTGGAAAATTTATTGAATAGATTGTCACAAGTACATACAACCTATCCTTTTAGAAGTGCAACCAGAACATTCTTTAGAAGCAAGAATAGTGAGATTTTGTCTTAGTTACTTTGGACCAGGCTTGGAGAAAGAGGAGAGGGGAGTTGATACTGCTCTATTCCTTCCTTTATCACATAATACGTGTGAAAGTGTATGAATGTATTACAGTCTTATCATGAAGAAAAAGGGGAAAATACTAACAGTTGGTTCTACCAAGTTATCATTAAATTAATGTGAATTTGGTCTAAATTAATTTTCAATATTACTTGCTACTTTCAAGTCTGATTTTTTTAATAATGAGACAAATAATTAGATCCCTGTACAATGTATCTTTATAGATTTTTTTCTGTGCTTAATTAAAATGTTTTAGACTGTTTTGATTATATTCTTCAGGTGATTAAACAAAATATGTGTATAATTTTTCATCCTGTCACTTGTTCCTTCCACTTACTCATTTTTGCATTTCAAATATAACTAATGCAAATTTAAAATACAATAAACTTTTTAATTTTATTTAACTCCATGTTCTTCAGATAATGTCCTAGTCTTGCTTTTGTTCAAAGTACAATATAGCATTAGCTATTTACCTGTATGACTTTATACTTGTATATCCTCATCTATGTAAAATAAAATGATAATTTAAAATTTAATTTACCCCACCGAAAGACCTCTAAACTCTATTTCCATTTAACAGAAGCCTGCCTCTCTGCCTGTTTTGTAATTAAAAAAAAATTCAAAACTGTGAGCTTTAGAATAAATTCTTTCTCCTTCGTTATTTAATGAATCTTCATTGTCATTAGAAGAAAATCTAAATTTTGATGCATACTTGACTACTTCTTCAGTTTGATCTTTATCTATTATTTCATTGACTCCCACTTCTAAATTCTGTTTAACTCATAATACACTATTTTCAGATATCTCAGCCTTCAGTGAATTGTTCACCTTACATTGAAACATATTTACTATTTTTCATCTTATCAATATGACTTCTATCTAGTTTCCATAAATTCTTAGTTGAAATTACTTTCTTCTGGAACTTTTATTTTTCTTACAAATTTTCCCTTAAGTAATTTATTTTTTTTAGACCACACTTTAATTTATTTAACCATTATCAGCTCATAATTTATATTTAGCTAAAATGTAAGAATCTGTATTTCACTAACTCTATATATAAGATCATGTTTAGAGGAGGAAGATCCTGGATGAGAGTGATTGACAAAGTGATTGTAGTAATGGACCTTAATGATATAAGTATCTATTTCCCAAAGATTGCATTTTCACAAATGTTTCTAACAACACTGTTTTAAAAGATATGCAATGAGTAGTCTCATCTGACACTTATACATGAATGCATCAGTTTTGTTCTTAGCAGATGCCTGTATTAGCTAAGGTGCTGAGTGCCTCTTCACTTGATCTTTCATTCTCTTTTCATTCTCTGTTGTTGTTGTTATTGCTATGTGCTGTGGAGTCGCCTGTGACCTGATGTATAGCACCTTTGAAACCTGCCTTGTCCTGAGTCAGCCTAACTAATTCCAACACGCCAACCTCCATTACCCCAGTTATTATAGCACTTCATCTCATCCAGGGTCTTCCTCTCCTACACTGTCCCTCCACCCTTTCCAGCAGGATGTCTTATTCATTGACTCCATTTAAAAATCATGATAAGTTGCTAACATCTTTGGTTTACTTTTTATTAAAAAGACAAATTACGTGATAAGATAAAAAGAAAGCTTGATCAGGATGAAAAGAATATCTACCGACTGGGAACAAACATTTGGCTTTATCTTCTCTGACAAGGATCATTTAATAAAAGATTACAGAATACTCTTGGACTCCCACAAGAAAAAGACTGATAACCCAGTCACAAAATGGGCAAAATGCAATGAAAGACTTTTCACAGAAGAAGACATTTGAATAGCCAATAGACACATGAAGAAATGCTTAAAATCACTGACAATAAGAGAGAAGTAAATCAAAGCTGCAATGAGATGTTATCTCACCACAGTAGCAGTGGCAAAGTTTATTAGAGTAGCAAGCAACGAAGGTTGCAGAAAATGTGAAGAAGTAAGAGCTCTCATACATTGTTAATGAGATTGTAAAATAGTACCTCTCTAGAAGACAATTTAGTGTTGCCTCACAAAGTTGAACAGAGAAACTCCATATG